CGGCGCCCGCACGGCCGCCACTCCGCGGGGCGGCCCGGTGACGGTGGTGGTACCAGATCCAGGAATCCTGGGAGGAAGAGGAAGGAGCAAAGAGAAGGGGAAGGAGGAAACGGAGAGAAGAGGATGGGGAGCAACACCAGTATCAAAGATACGCCGCCAGGGGGAAGCCTGTAGCTTCTACTGTTGGAAAGACACCAGGCCTTCGGGCAAACATGATAGACCCACGAAACCGGCAAGAAATGTAGAAATGTAGAAATGTGAATCATGGCAACGTTTTCAAGACACCTGATTGGGCGACGGGCAATTGCAATGCTGAGTGTATCGATCTTGATGTACCGTGCCAAGGGCTGTGCTGTGCTGCGTCGTGCTGATTTGCGATGTGCCATGCCGGGATTGTGCTCTATAGCGTTGTGGATCGAGTCCTTCTTTGCATCCGAGTCCTGACGGAACTGATCTGAACCTGAAGCTCGAGCTGCCTTAGCACGTAGTAGATGCCTCAGAGCTAGTTAAAGTGGAAAAGCGCGGGACGTTCAATCAACTCGACCTCAAAATCCAGCTCAGCTCCGGAAAGGAACGGCACGACACGGGGCACAGGCTCACGGACGCGCCACAAGATGTGCCAGGGGTGCAATAAGGGATGCGCCAGGGGGCGTGTCAGGGGACGTATCAAGGGACGTGCCCTGGACGTGACAGGGACCTGCCACGGGACGTGCCAAGGCGCGTGCCATGGGGCGGCCAGAGGACGTCATGCCAAGGGACGTTGCAAGGGGCGCGCCACGGAACGGGCAGGGTAAAGGCCTGGGGACGAGCCAGGAAACGCGACAGAGGACGAGCCAGGGAACGTGCCACGCCGAGTGGCGTGCCAGGGGACGTGCCAGGGCACGTCACGCCAGAACGTCGGAAGGGACGCGCCAAGGGACGCGCCAGCGCGCCAAGGGACGCCCCACGGACTGGCGGGGTTGGACTGCGATGCACTCTACTGCGACAAGCGTTGCACTCGAGACATCCTCAACAAATCCTCATGTCAGACATCCGCCTGGGCGAGCTGGACGCGTGAAACCAAGCGTCTCGCTCGAGACACCCTCAGCACATCCTCATGTTAGACATCCGCCTGGGCGAGCTGGACACGAGAAACCAAGCGTCTCGCTCGAGACATTCTCAACACCTCCTCATGCTAGACATCTGCCTGGGCAGCCTGGACGCGTGACAACAAGCGTTTGGCTCGAAACATCCTGCCCCAATCCTCACGTGACACCCGCCTGGGAGACCTGGGCAAGTGAGAACAAGCGTTTCTCTCAAGACGTTCTCAACACCTCCTCATGCTAGACATCCGCCTGGGCGACCTGGGCACGTGGAAACAAGCGTTTCGCTCGAAAAGTTCTCAACACCTCCTCATGCTATACATCCGCCTGGGCAACCTGGACATGTGAAAACAAGCGTCTCGCTCGAGACATTCTCAACACCTCCTCATGCTAGACATCTGCCTGAGCGACCTGGACGCATGGAAACAAGCGTCTCGCTCGAGACATCCTCAACACGGACGTGTGAAACTAAGCGTCTTGCTCGAGACATCCTGAAGAACTGGGCACGCGAAACCAAGCATTTCACCTGAGACATCCTCTGAATTCTGGTCCCCACGAGAGGAATCATCTATAACACAAAAGAAGCGTTTCGCTCGAGACGTCCTCAGCCAATTCTGCAAACCAAGCGTTTCGCGTGAGACATCCGCAACACATGAACTTGTTTACTTTACCATGTGTTTTATCGATGGGAATTTCAAAAACCAACTCTTCAATTTGCCGGCCCTACGCGACCTCGTTATTTATCGCAGAATAAATTCGCTGGCCCTGCGCAAGTTGAGGCCCGGCACTCGGTTTCCCTACTGCGAGGGAGCCCTGGGCCGAAGCCCTTTCCGGGAGAAAGGCAACATACGCTGACGGGCTCGCAACAGCTTGGAGTCTTTTCGGGCGCACGCTGACATGGATCGTGGATCCGAGGATCTGGCGCGCAGGCGCCTGATTCTGCGGCGGAGCGCCCCGATTCTGTACGGAAGCGGGACCGTCGCTGGACCACGCGCCAGAATCCATGCTTGCGCCTCCTCGATGGTCGGGTGGACCTGCGGGTCCCTGGAGGCCGAAAAAGACTACACCCTCGCGGCAAAACAGGCCCTGGGCGGCTGGAAGCCGTTCCACGGAAGGGGGGGGCACGATTGGGGGCCCACGACCACGAGGGGGGCCCACGCCGTGGGGGCAGCGCGGTGCGGCACCGCACGGCTCTGGGATCTCGGAGGCCTCCCACGTGGGGTCCGAGCACGTGGGGTCGGAGGCTGGCGCCGCATCGCCGATGCTGGTACATGGGCAATGCATCGGCAACGTCGGCGATGCATCGGCACCGTCGGCGTGCAGAAAATCGCGCCTCACGGGCCTCGCATCGAGCCGCATCGCCGATGCATCGGCGATGCGGCGCGATCCTTCGATCCCATCGAATCAGGCCCCATGTGGAAGGCCTGGGCACTTATGTCTGACACTTCTGACGGAAGAAGAAACGGTGGGGGCAGTGGACAAGGAACCTTTAGATAAGGAGTCCAGGGTCTGGAAGACTGTGGGAATCCAATAGTGGATCGGCCATGGGTATTACTGCCGCCCTCATCAGATAAGGACTCCTCCAGGGTCTGCAGCATCCCGGGCGCGTTCCTCAACCAACGCCCCCATCGTAAGCTTTCGGAGGTCTGAGCGGATTTTTTGGATCGGCGCTGGGACCCTCTGGCGGCGCTCCTGTCGCGCCCCGTGCGCCAGGGAGGGGATCCAGCGCCGATCCAAGAAGCCCGCGCGGAGCTCCGAAAGCTGATGTTGGTGCAGATTGCTCTTCTTCGGCTCAGATGCCCCGATGCACAACACGCAAACCGTAGCGTGTTGACACAGAGCTCAACACGTAAGATTGGCAATGCAGATCTGGCGCGATACGTTCGCCAACATATGGGCCAACAAGTGCGTGAGACGTGTTGAACGCGGCCCGTAAGGAGTTCCAACACGTGAGCGACGATCAAAAACGGGTCTTACGCGAGATGTCATAGCGACTTCACGCGGTGGCTTAAGCGGGCCGCCGGCGCGGCACGCCACATTGGAGACGAGGGCGCTTACGCGCGACCTTACGCGGGCAGCTTACGCGCCAATGTCGACGCAGACGACGCTCCCGCGTGCATCGGGGCAGCTGAGCTCGGGAGTCCTGCGTCGACGCCTTCGACGGTGCGGAATCTGCCGCAGTCGCCGTGGCGTCGCCCAGCAGGGGGCGGCAGGCCGCCCTTCTAGAAGAAGAAAAAACGCCGCAAGCATAAGCTTCTGGCGCTTCGCGCGGATTCCTTGGATCTGCGCTGGACCCACCCCTCCCTGGCGCGCGGAGCGCGCCAGGGGCGGCGCTGGAGGCTCGGCAGGGGTGTCCCAACACAGACCCAAAAGAAACCCGCGCGGAGCGCCAAAAAAAATCCGTTCCCGGCGCTCTTTTCCTCCTCCTTCGACCTCAGCGCGCCGTCCGAGAAGGCCCGCTGCGCCCGCGTGCCTGCGCCCCGGTGGCCCGGCCTGCGCGGGGCGCCGCCCCGGGGCAGCGGGCGGCGGGGGGCGGGGTCGCCGCCCTGGCCGTGCGCGGCGCCCGGCGGGGCGCCATCCTCGACGACTCCGAGCCCAGGAGCTCCGACGCTCCAGCAAAACATTGGAGCGGCGGGAGAGTTGGGCAGTTCTCGGCCTCTGGGGGCCTTCGCCGGGCCTCGGGAGCGTCAAGAGACGACTCAGGACGAAACTCCGGCCTCAGAGAAGTGGTCTGGACCTGCGGGGCCCACGCATCGAAAAAAATGGAGCAGTCGGATGTCTGGGAAGGGCGTGCTTTGCCAAGGTTATGGCTTGCAGCCCGCGCCTGGGGGGGAGGCAGGGCGAGGACCTCGACACGAGATCGCCGCCGCGCCCTGGCGAGGGCTCGTCAAGCCTCGAGGCGCAGCGTGGTGGCCCCGAAGCCCCATGGCGGCGCCGACCGCAAACCGCACCCAGGCGTGCGCATGCGCCTTCCCAGACATCCGATTGCTCCATGTTCTTCGATGCGTGGGCCCCGTATCTGAACGCCCGAGACGGTTACGGAGAGAACGGGCGCAATGCCCAACAACAAGTGTTGTCTAAAACAGACAGCGGCCGCTGTTGGGCAGGCGGCTCTTGTTGTCTTCAATGAACAACGTTCGCGGCGGCGCGGACAGCGAGTCCTGTTCAAAATGATCAGGAACTGCTGTTGGGCGTCGTACCCATTCTTTCCGTACCCATCTCGATCGTCTCGACCGTAGGTCCAGACCATTTCTTTAAGGCCAGATTTTCGTCCTGAGTCGGGAGCGTCAAGAGACGACGTCTCTTGACGCTCCCGAGGCCCGGCGAGGGCCCCCAGAGGCCGAGAACTGCCCAACTCCCGCCGCTCCAATGTTTTGCTGGAGCGTCCAGTCTCTTGGGCTGCAGCCGCCCGGTCCTGGCCGTGGGCCGTCTGGCTGTGGACGCGTCGAAGGAGGAACGCCGCACGCGCCACGACTCTCCGAGGCCCACGCTGGCTTCTCGGGCCGGCGCGGGCCCCCACCGCCCCTCGCGCGCGGCGCTGCCGGTGCCGCCCTGGTGGGGGGCCAGCGCCGATCCGAGAGCTCCGCGCGGACCTCCGAAAGCCTTTGCCCGCGCCGGCTTTCCCCGGCCCTGAGCTCCTGGCGGCTCCATTGTTTCGAGCCGGGCGCTGCCGCCCAATTTCGGGCCCCGGGCTCCTCACAAATGGACCCAGCTCGAAGAATGGCAGAAAGAGATGGGGTCCGCAGACGATGTCTTAATTTTTCCGAGGCGTCGGATCCCTGAGACCCGACGTCGCAACACAATCGAACCAGTGTGAAAATCTCGGCCGGAGCCCTGGACCCCTCTTTTTCTGCGCCACGTGTCGAGCTGGATTTGGCTCTGTGGGGGCCCCTGGGGCCCGAAGCCGTTTCTGGGGGCGCCAGGGCCTCGGGCCCTTCTCCTTCCTGGCCGTGGTAGTGCGTGTGCACGTGCGTGTGGACGCCAGGCGCGGACGCCGCGGCGCGCGGCGGCCGGGCGGCGGCAGCGGCCTGCGCGACGCTCCGGGCCGCGGCCGCCTCTGGGTCGCGGGGCGGCTCGGCGGGCGCCGCGGCGGGCAGCGCCCGGGGACGCTCGGGCCCGGGGCCGACGGGCGCTGCGGCGGCCGCGTCTGGCCGGCCGAGGCCGCCGGGCGCCGTCGCCGCGCGCTGCGGCGGCGGGGGGGGGCTGCACGCGGCGGGCGCGGGGGCGCCCGCGGCGGCCCGCGGCGCCCTGGCTGCGAGCGGGGCGCTCAGAGCGGGCGGCGGCGCCCCGCCGGGAGGCCCAGCCGACGCGCCCGAGCGGCGGGGGCCTCGCGCCCGCGGCTGCGAGTGCGCCGGGGCGGTGCCCGGGCGCGGCGCGGCGCCCCCGGCGTCGTCGCCGTCGCCGTCGCCGTCCTCGAGTGGGCGACGGGGTCTGTGCGAGCTCACGGCCCCTGGCCTGGCCCATCCTGGGCCCAGGAGCGGTGTGCAGACGCCTACCTGGCCTGGCAAGGGTGGCATGTACACCGCTCCTGGGCCCAGGATGGGCCTGGCCAGGGGCAGCGGGTGTGTAGAGATCTCGCCGCCCGACCTCGAAAATCCACGAGTCGAGGAATGCCAGCTCGTCCGTGCCGACTGCGCGCCTCCCCGTGGCCTTGTCGCGGACGGCGGAGGCTCCCGCCTTCACGCCGTCGAGGCAGTTGTACAGGAGGCGCACGTCTCCGTACCAGGGTGTCTTGCTGGTGGCCCGCTTGAGCTCCGAGAAGGTCACGTAGCCGCTGCGGTCCTCGTCGAGGGCTCGAAGGCAGGCAACCACGCCGCCGAAGTTGCGGTCGGCCCAGGCCTTGAAAGACCCCAACACCTGTGCACTAGGCAGGTCATATTCCCGCATGCTGATGTACCCAGAAGAATCGTTGTCGAGGTGGCGCCAAACGCCTGCAACGTTGCCCTCGAATCTGACTTCATGGCACGCGGCCTCGAACTCCGACCACGAGATCTTGTTTGAGTTGTTCCTGTCGAGCAGATTCCTCCATGCCATGAGCGGGTGGTCGTACCTCTCCAGCAGTAGCTCCCGCAACTTCTCCCACGCCTCCGGGTCTGGCTCCGCGCAGACCCACTCTGGGGGGTCCCACCCGTCCAGCCACTCCAAATCCGCCCGGGTGAGGAAGCCACAGCCGTGCAGGTCCAGCGACGTGAGGAGCGAGACGCGCTCCTCCTTGTCCTCCACCCCCGGCCATCCCAAGGCCCGCAAGACGCCTGTGAAGTTCCCAAACCGCATCCGGTGCTCCGAATTTCCGGTCCACTTCCCGCTCTGCCTCGTGCTGCGGGCCGACACGGCCTGGCGGCTGTCCCAGACGCCGGTGCAGCTCCCCAACTCCGGGTTCCTCGCGGCCCAATGCTTAAACTGGGCCAGGATGCGGCCCCGCCAGGGCGAGAACTCGAGCAGACCCACCGACCCGTCGTCGTCCCGGTCGAACACCTGCCAGAGGTCGCGGAATTCCAGCTCCAGCAGCATCTGACCGCAGTATCGGCGCAAGGGCACCTTCCCGACGTTGTAGCTGCGCTGCGGGTCCCAGCAGCGGCGGAGGGCGCGGATCTCGTTGCCGTGGGCAGTCACGACGTGCTGGAAGAACGCCGCCTTCGCCGCCTCCTGGCGATGTCGGACGTCCCGCGCCCGCTCCTGGCGCCGCTGGGAGAGGACCTGCTGGGTGTCGCTAACAAGTGGTCCTGGCCCAAGGTGCTCCCAGCTGCTCGCGCCACGCTGGGGGCCCTCCGAGGTCCGTGGAGGGGGTGCTCGTGATGCCGTCTGGGCCTCCCCGGGACTCCCGGGGATCTCCTTGAGCCAGAGACGCCTTTGGCAGCACCCGAAGGGCCTGGGGCAACTGCTCGAAGGCCCTGGCCTGCCACGGCCGCGGCGCGAGGCGGGACGCCTCCCCACCGGGGCACTTCGCACCGGCGGTCCTGGCCCGCCTCTGGGGGGGGGCAAGGTGGTACCAATACCGCTTGTGGTTCCCAAACCCGTGCGGTGACAGACCGTGCGGTGACCTCGGAAGCCCCGACGACCTCACCGCACGGTCCGTCACCGGAAGGCTTTGGGACCCCAGAAACTCCATTCGCCCGAGACAGCCTCGGAAAACGACCAGAGTCCCCAAACCGTGCGGCCACCCCGAATCCCTGACTCACCACACGGTGTGGTCACCACACCGTTTGGGGCCCCTCGAGAGATCGCTACTCCCTGGACCGCTTCCGCACTAAAATCTGGCCAGACTTTCGAGGAGGCTCCAGCCATGGCGACGCGGGCGCTACGGGACGAGCAGAGGCATCGGTGCCTTGCCCCCCCTCGGAGCCTCGCGCCGTTCACGCCCTTGGCGCGCTCCAGGTACTCCCTGGCCAGCTCGTGCCTCCAGTCCTCCATGCTCGCGACCTTCATCTCCCGCATCTCGCGCTCGCGGCGCCTCGGGTCGGCCTCCAGGAACAGCACGCTCTCCCTCGTGATGTACCCCTCGTCCCAGCAGTCGCAGCACTCGTACATCTCCCGCAGGTCCGAGTGGTGCTGCGGGAAGCCGTGGGCGCCGCAGCCGTCGAAGAAGTCCTTGCGGAAGACCCTGCCCCTGCCCTCCGGGTCCAGCGCCCGGAACATCTCCACGGGCGAGCCGAAGGTCACCCTGACCCACTGCTGGAACTTGTCCACCACCTCCGCCCTCTGCGGGTCGACCACGGCCAGTGACAGGCTGCTGCTGTCGTCCCCGGTGAAGAGGCTCCGCACGCTGCCTGTGAAGTTCATCCGCCTGGCGGCCCACCTGAAGGTGGCGGCATCCACCACAAAGGTGCCAGCAGGGTCAAGCTCGGTCCTCCAGCCACGGAAGAAGCTGCCGTGCCCAGCCGTAGTCAACAGCTCTGAAAGGTCTTCCTGGGTCTGCGTTCTCGATGCGGCGAACAGCATTGTCGTCGACCTCGTGTGACGAAGGCAAGGTCGCTGGAACGACGCTTCCGAAGATGCACTGCTATCGGCCACGGACGTTCGACGGAAGCTCACTTTCTCGCGGTCCGGCCTTTCAGGCGGCTCGGCGGCGCCAGCACCTTTCTCCTCCGCACCGTCTTGGCTCCCCGGCGCTTCCATGCCGACCGCCATGGACTCCGTGAGCGCATGTGATGCACGCTCGCGCTGCCCCTTGGCAAGGCTTGGGGTGGCGCTTATACAGCCCCCAGAGGTACAGCCATCGTGCTACCAGGAGGAACGCTGAACCAGGAACGAAAGGGCCTTCTGGCTGTGGCGAGCCTCGGCCACGCAAAATTGCCCCGACGCAGGCCAACAGAACGGCCGAAAGTCAGAGCCCCCCGCTGAGCCCAACGTTGCCCTTCTTTCAGCGCCCTGGCTGCAGTCCAGGCAGGCGTCAGCAAGCCCCTAAGGCAGCCCAAGGCAGCCTCGATGAGCCCGCCCGAAAGGAACGGTGCGCTCTGCGTGCGCCGCCGGAGGCCGCGTACGCAATGTCGATTCCGCTCCAGACGGTCCCTCGGGGCCTGCTGAGGCCAACCTGGACCGCCTCCTTCGGCTACACGCGAGAATACCCTGGCCTCTGGTGCGCGGCTGAACGCGGGACGCGGGCTGGCCAAAGCTGGGCGCGCCAGCCGCTGCTACCGCTTCGCGTTCGGCGATCGGGAAACCCCATTGGGCCCACATCAAATGTCACTCCGGCGAAAAAATCTTTCTCACGTCTGGTCACCCAGCTTCGTGCTCCGCGCTGCGCGACAAGCGGGCCTCTAAATGGCAGAGGTTAGACGAAACCAGGACGGGGATACCATCGGGTAAGGATGAATCGAGAATCTCTGAGGTCCAGCGGTTCTGCAGGATGCCTCGGGCGCCGGCCTTCTCAGAGCGCTCTGGAAAGCGTTCCGGAAGGCTCTGGTACGCACTGCTCCTCGTCCCAGCCCCGTCCGAGGAGGGCTTCCTCTCCAGCCCAGACCGCGGCGCGCAAAGTGCGGTTCGCTTCGCGCCCCCAAGTGTGACCCATGGCTGGGCGCCTTCAACCGATTACCTCGCTGATCCTGGTCGGGCTCATCGTGGGCCTACAGTCAGCCCGTATCATAAGGACGCGCGATAAGGATATAAGGGCCTTGGAAGGCTATCTCGAAGCTTTTCGAGCGGGGCGCGGCCAGCGAAAGTGGCCAAGGATCAACCGAGGAGGGAAGGATGCTGGGGCACCCTTAGGAAGGTCGCCCGTCCTTACCATGCGGGTCGACTGTAAGGTCTGTGCAATCACTGGCGCCCTCCTGGCGTGGCCAGGGAGGCGTCTACAACGATCCCATGGGCCCCAAATCGGACCGGCCAGGATCTGTGAGGTGTTCCGTGGACGTCGCCCAGCTGTACAGTCGGGGCGCTGACCTAAGGAATCCTAAAGATGGAGCGAGGCCCATTTTCTCCAGAAGTTAAACTTCGACTTCCCATCGAAAACCAAAGGAAAACCTGAGGCAAACTGTGAAACAATTAAGGAACACGGAGCCCCTCCCCAACGAAAAGAGTACCTCCTTCAGCGCTCCGACTGTAGGCGTGACCCTAAGCTTTGCCAGGCCCTCTCGAAACGAACCCCGCTTGAGCCAAACCGGCTACGGTTCTGTTCACCGTCCTCTCGGCCGGAGGCGTACTCTGGACGGCGTGCTTATCAGGGGGGGTGATTAACTTTCCGACAGAGCTTGCCCAATCTCTCCCCCTCCGTCCTCCTCCCCCTCCTCATCCTCCTCTTCCTCCAGCCCCACCCGTGCCGACAGCACGTGCCCAACCCCCCAGCGGATTCAAGGGGGGGGGCGATTGTTTGTCCCATCCAGAGTTCAGCCAAAGTCGGTATGCAGAGACCCAGGTCGCTCTAGCTGGCCCTCCCCTGAGCGAGTCCTCCACCAGCGAGAGAACAGTGGTTGGGAGGGGGGATGTATTTGGTCGTGGGTTGGCGTCTAGCCCCAACGCCCTCAAACGCAGCGGCATTGGGAAAATGGAGAGGGGAGGACGAGGATGGGGAGGAGGGGGAGGACGCAGGAGAAGATATGTATGAGGAGGGAGGCCGATAATAAACATATCCCGCTGGCACTCTATCTTCTGGCAGCGAATGACGAACTGCTGAGGGTGCTGGATCATCTGACTACAAAGGCCAATCCTTGGGGCAGCCACCCATTCTAATTCAGTTTTCTGTTCTCAATCTTATCCTCGGCCGTGCTTTGCCTCCTCGGCCCTCAGGCTGTTGTGGCATAGGTCGCGGCTCCGCGATCTAAGCGGCGACCGCCTGTCCGCTCAGGATGCTCTCCGCGTTGCCGATCTTTTTACCAGCTGATGGTCCAGCTGGTGCTTGTTCTTCTCCTGTCATTCGCCACTAATGGCAGGTGTGGTTACTTGTGTGGTGAGCCGTGAGGCCAAAGCCGTATTTTTCTTGTGCACTGTCTCTGGCGGGTCTGCCAGACAGTGAGAGTCCGAGCCGAGGGTCGATCCGTGCGGGGAGGGGGCCATAGTGGGCGCTCCGAAAGGAACTCGCGAAGCCCCCTCCCCATAGCGGCTCTCGCCGAGGCGAGGTATTTCTCAGAGCTGGCAGGTCCCGCACTGCCAGTTGCTTGCACTATGCGGTGGGCCCGTGGAGGTCAAAAAACCCTTCCCCCTGGACCTGGACAAGGCATTCCGCAAGGGCGTTGGAGCGTCCAAGATGGCCTTGGCGAGAAGGCCCAAATCAATGATTGTCTAAGGTTTTGGCCACATTTTGGCCTTTGGTCGATCTCCTCCAAGATGGCCCCAATGTGGTCCCCCGAGGCTGCCAAGGGTGCCCCAAGACGGCTCCACGAGGTGCCCAGGAGGCCCCAGAAGGCCCCCAAAGATGGTCCCAACAGACTTCCGAGAAACCCGCAAGAGGCCCGAAGAGGCTCCCCAGAGGCATCTAAGACGCCCCAAGAGGCCTCGGCGAGAAGACCAACACCGTTGATCTTACAAGAAAGGTTTTGGCCACATTTTGCCCTTCGGGTGGGGTGGGGGGCATTCTAATGTACTACGGCCCCCCAAGATGCCTCGAGGTGCCCCCAAGAGGCTCCTAAGAGACCCCCAAGGGGCCCCAAGAGGCTCCCCAGAGGCACCAAAGACGCCCCAAGAGGCCCCCGGGACTGCCAAGAGATCCCAAAGACACCGCAAAAAGACTCCAAGAAGCTCTCGGAAGAAATCCGAAGAGACTTCGAGAGCCATCCAAGAGGCCCCTGGCCTTTCTGCTCGCCCTCCCCCTCCTTTTCCTCCTCCTTCTCCTCCTCCTCTTCCCCATCCGCCAAATCCTCCTCCTTCCTCGTACGTCCTCCCCCTCCTTCCCCTCTCCCTCCTCCTCCTCCTCCTCCTGCTCCTCCGATTCCTCCTCCATCCTCCCCCCTCTTGGGGCAGGACGTCTTACCCGGCTCTTTAGTCTACTGCATGCTCCTCCACATCCCTGATCAAGGTAACTCTCCTGGGCATTGTGTCTGATGGACTGGTGAGGTTATGCGAAGCGTCTAGGATAAAGAACTTACCACACATGGTGAACGATGTGATAAAATCAACTAGGCAACAACTATGGTAACATTTAGGGGGCACAATCATGTCCACTAGCCAGGATAAATTCAGGGCCCCATATCTTTTGAATGCAGATGAAGAGTTCAAACGGGGACCTTACCATCTAATCGCACATACGGGCACCCTCAAAGGACCCTTCATCCGACAACAGCTACGGCACTTTTTCATGCAATTGGGATACGGAGGCCATGTAGTTTTCCTACGCGTGGGGATGTCAATGTGGCCCTATCATCTGACAGCAAATCAACAAATCCTGAGAGGATGTTGTTGCCCATCTGACCACAAGCACACAACTCCTCAAGCCCACTATCACATGGCCATGCGTCGAAACATCCGAGCGGGCTCACATCACCAGCGCACCTCAAATGTGCGGTATGTTTCGATCCGCCTATCAACTGCCCGCCTCGCTAAACACTCCACAGGGACATTTCTCTTCTCAGAACATGTTTGTGCCACCCTTGCGCTTGTCCGCGACTACGGGGTTCCTCTGCGTCGGATTTGCAAAAGCACAATGGAATTCCTTCGAGGATCTCCTCGTCATATATCGCATACCAAAATTCCTTCGGCGTTCTGGGACCCAATCGCCAGATCACCAACAGGAGAATGCGAAAGGGACCTGATCATCTGATAGCAAGGGGAATATTCATTCGAGAACAACAACGCTGGAAACAAGCGGGAACGAACGGAGATCCTAATGCAAACAACGTTTGAGAAGCATGCCAAAAATGAAGTAAAGCAGCCCGACCAGCGTCAAGCCTCGGACGCGATGCCCGCCATGTGATTCTCCGCAGCGGATGGGCATTTCAAGCATGCCGACTCCGAAGACGCGCCAGATGTGTTGCTATACCTGCCGCGGGCAAAAACGCAGTACGTCAAGAGACGGACATCCGCCTAGTTCCGCCAGGAGGAAGCGGGTACATAAGCCCACCTTCTGCCTTGTACGTGTACGTGTGTGTATAATTGAATACATAGTTATGCGATCACACATACGCAAATTTACACATACACGAGAGCGTGTATGTATACCGATCTGTATGTATAGATGTACGCCGTGCTTCGAGGCACGAATTGGAGTGTCCTCAGGTCGAGTTCTCTGCATGGGATCTTGTATGTTTTTCCCAACCATCCTGTGGTGTTGGGTCCTCGTTTTGAAGAGACAGCGCCCCGCGTCTCCTCTCCTCTCCTCTCCTCTCCTCCTCCTCCTCTCCCCCCTCCTCCCTCCTCCCATCGCCGTCATCATACTCATCGTCATCATCATCATCCTCATCTTCATCATCATCATCATCCTCGTCATCATCACCACCAGCATCATCATCGTCATCATCATCATCATCGCCATCGCCATTAGTTCCCAACCATCCTGTCATCATCACCACCAGCATCATCATCGTCATCACCACCAGCATCATCATCGTCATCGTCATCGTCATCATCATCATCATCATCATCATCATCATCATCATCATCATCATCATCATCATCATCATCATCATCATCGCCATTAGTTCCCATTTCCGCACACCCCTCACACGCTTCGTGGCCCCATAGGGAGCTCCACCGAAGGCCCCAGTGGCAGGGTTCGCATGCCGCCCCCACCCCACTTTGGCACACCCCTCACACGTTTCGTGGCCCCATAGGTAGCTCCACCGAAGGCCCCAGTGGCAGGGTTCGCATGCCGCCCCCACCCCACTTTGGCACACCCCTCACACGTTTCGTGGCCCCATAGTAGCTCCACCGAAGGCCCCAGTGGCAGGGTTCGCATGCCGGCACACCCACACCGTGGCCCCACTTTTCGCATGCCGCCCCCACCCCACTTTGGCACACCCCTCACGTTTCGTGGCCCCATAGGTAGCTCCACCGAAGGCCCCAGTGGCAGGGTTCGCATGCCGCCCCCACCTCACTTTGGCACACCCCTCACACTCCACCGAAGGCCCCAGTGGCAGGGTTCGCATGCCGCCCCCACTTTGGCAGTTTCACTCCACCGTCAAGTGATCCACCGAAGGCCCCAGTGGCAGGGTTCGCATGCCGCCCCCACCCCACTTTGGCACACCCCTCACGCATTTCGTGGCCCCATAGGGCTTGGCAGGGTTCGCATGCCGCCCCCACCTCACTTTGGCACACCCCTCACGCGTTTCGTGGCCCCATAGGTAGCTCCACCGAAGGCCCCAGTGGCAGGGTTCGCATGCCGCCCCCGCCCCACTTTGGCACACCCCTCACACGTTTCGTGGCCTCATAGGGAGCTCCACCGAAGGCCCCAGTGGCAGGGTTCGCATGCCGCCCCCATCTCACTTTGGCACACCCCTCACACGTTTCGTGGCCCCATAGGGAGCTCCACCGACGGCCCCAGTGGCAGGGTTCGCATGCCGCCCCCACCCCACTTTGGCACACCCCTCACGCATTTCGTGGCCCCATAGGGTGCTCTACCGAAGGCCCCCGTGGCAGGGTTCGCATGCCGCCCCCACCCACTTTTGCACACCCCTCACACGTTTCGTGGCCCCATTGGGAGTTCCACCGACGGCCCCAGTGGCAGGGTTCGCATGCGTCCGCGCCACCCATGTCGACACACCCTTGACACGTTTCGTGGCCCCATAATGAGCTCCACCGAAGGCCCCAGTGGCAGAGTTGGCATGCCGCCCCTCGCCCATTTCGGCCCACCCCTCACACGTTTCGTGGCCCCATAGGGAGCTCCACCGAAGGGGCCCCAGTGGTTGCGTTCGCATGCGTCCCCACCACCCATTTCGGCACACCCCTCATACGTTTCGTGGCCCCATAGGGAGCTCCACCGAAGGCCCCAGTGGCTCCCCACCACCCATTTCGGCACACCCCTCACACGTTTCGTGGCCCCATAGGGAGCTCCACCGAAGGCCCCAGTGGCTGCGTTCGCATGCCTCCCCACCACCCATTTCGGCACACCCCTCACACGTTTCGTGGCCCCATAGGGAGCTCCACCGAAGGCCCCAGTGGCAGGGTCCGCATGCCTCCCCACCACCCATTTCGGCACACCCTTCACACGTTTCGTGGCCCCATAGGGAGCTCCACCGAAGGCCCCAGTGGCGCGGTGCCTATGAGAAGAGGGGCCTAGTTTGCGTGCCCCCTCCTTCGTCTCATATCCGTGCGGTACTCGCAGCTGCATATGGTTGGGTCCTTCGCCAGGCTAATTTTCCCCACCAAGCTGTGGTGTTGGATTCTTGTTTTGAAGAGACAGCGCCCCGCGTTCCTCCTTCCGCTGCCCCATCCTCCCCATCCTCCAATCCCTGCCTCTGCCCTCCGCACAAATCAGCCATTTCGGCACACTCCTCACACGTTTCGTGGCCCCATAGGGAGCTCCACCGAGGGCCCCAGTGGCTGCGCTCGCATGGCACTACCGCGCCCATGTCGCCACACCCCTCACACGTTTCTTGGCCCCATAAGGTGGCTGCGCTCGCATGGCACCGCCGCGCCCATGTCGCCACACCCCTCACACGTTCCGTGGCCCCGTAGGGAGCTCCACCGAGGGCCCCAGTGGCTGCGCTCGCATGGCACTACAACACCCATTTTGGCACACCTCTCACATTCCGTGGCCTTATAGGGAGCTCCACCGAAGGCCCCAGTAGCTGCGCTCGCATTGCACCCCTGCACCCATGCCGGCACACCCGTTAGATGTTTCGTGGCCCCGTATGGAGCTCCACCGAGAGCGCCAGTGGCTGCGCTCGCAGGGCACCACCGCGCCCACGTCGCCACACCCCTCACACGCTTCTTGGCCCCATAGGGTGGCTGCGCTCGCATGGCACCGCCGCGCCCATGTCGCCACACCCCTCACACGCTTCTTGGCCCCATAGGGTGGCTGCGCTCGCATGGCACCGCCGCGCCCATTTCGACACACCCCTCACACGTTCCGTGGCCCCGTAGGGAGCTTCACCGAGGGCCCCAGTGGCTGCGCTCGCATGGCACCACAACACCCATTTTGGTACACCTTTCACATTCCGTAGCCTTATAGGGAGCTCCACCGAAGGCCCCAGTAGCTGCGCTCGCATTGCACCCCTGCACCCATGCCGGCACACCCCTTACATGCTTCGTGGCCCCATAGGGGGCTCCACCGAGAGCGCCAGTGGCTGCGCTCGCATGGCACCACTGGCAGATTTCGGCACACCCCTTATACGATTCATGGTCCCATAGGGAGCTCCACCGAGGGCCCCAGTGGCTGCGCTCGCATGGCACCACCGCGCCCATGCCGGCACACCCCTGGCGCGTTTCGTGGCCCCATAATGCAGGATGACGAACAATAAAAAATGGGGGGAACCATTAACAATTATTCGATTACTGTATGATTTTTCAACGGGAGGAGGACGATTAAAACATGTCTATTGCACGTCGGCTTCGAATATTGCGTCGAATGCTCATTTCACGTCGTCGTCAAATTGTACTTTAAATAATCATTTGACGTCGACTTCACATTTCATGGCAAATGCAAATTCTACGTCGGCTTCAAACTTTTACGTCAAATACTCGTTCCACGTCGGCTTCAGACATTACCTCTAATGCGCAATTGACGTCGGATCCACTTGTTACGTCAAATGCACAATCCATGCCGAATTATAATTTTGCATCGACGGCACGGAAACGATTAAAATAATAGTTTCTCAGCCCGCGGTCGTTTTTTTCTAATCCTCCTCCGGGGCGCCGCCGACGCAACACGACCCACGGTCATTTATTAATCGTCATCCTACATTAGGGAGCTCCACCGAGGGCCCCAATGAGTGCGCTCGCATGGCACCATCGCACCCATTTCGGAACACCACGCACTCGCTTCGTGGCCCCATAGGGAGCTCCACCGAAGGCCTGCAGTGGCTGCGCTCGCATGGCACCACGCGCCAATTTCGGCGCACCCTCACACGTTTCGTGGCCCCATCGGAAGCTCCACCGACGGCCCCAATGACTGCGCTCGCATGGCACCACCGCGCCCATGCTAGCACATCCGTCACACGATTCGTGGCCGAGGGCCCCAGTGGCTGCACTCGCATGGCACTACCGCGCCCATTTCGACACACCCCTCACACGCTTCTTGGCCCCATAGGGTGGCTGCGCTCGCATGGCACCGCCGCGCCCATGTCGGCACACCCTTCACACGCGATCGGGCTCCACCGCAGACGATACTCACAACTGCGTTACTCACTGCTGCGTATGGTTGGGCCTTTCGCCAGGCTGATTACATCCTTCCAGGGGCCGACAGCCTCGAGCTCCAGGCGCTCCTGGGGTGTGGCGCGCTCCTGCTGGGGCTTCCCGCAAACCTCTTCGGGTCCCTCGCTTGTCTTCTGCTCCAGCCAGGGATGCCACGATCAAATTGGGTCCAGATAAATCGAGAATCTCTGAGATCCAACTGACCTGGAGGATGTCTCGGGCACCGGGGCCTTCTCGGAGCGTTCCGGAACGCTCTGAGAGCGTTCCGGAACGCTCTGGAACGGATGCATCCTCGTCCTGGCCCCGCCCGAGATGGGCCGAGAGGGCCCGATTTGCTGGCCAGTCGTGGGCGCCTCATGGGCGCCCCTTGCGTTGAGTGGGTCCGCCAAGGATTCGCCTGGTGCCCGGTTGGTGGACAGTCGTGGGCTCCTCGTGGGCGCTCTGTGGGCTGGGTGGCTCCGACGAGGTTTTTACGTGGTGGGCGCGTTGGCGCCCCCGCGGTATCCGCTGTAATTTGCACCGCGTAGCTTGCACCACATAGGAGGCACCACATAGGTTGCAGCACATAGCGGGCACCACGCATGTTGCTTCTCATATGTATATATATATATACATATATGTGTATATTTGTATATATATATATATATATTGTACCACGCAGCTTGCACTTCATAGCGTGCACCACATATA